GGGGGTGAGTTCCTGGCAGGGAGTTGCTGTTTGCCAGGTCAGTGTGTTGTGGGTACCAGTTGTGGAGCAGCACAGTGCTGTGAGGGCCTCCTCTGATGAAGTGCCTGCTGAGTGCTGGAGGTTGGGAAAATAAATGTTCATCTGGAGCTCTGGAGGTTGCTGTGCTGAAAACCAGAATAAATGCAAATCAAACATTTGCTTCTCTCGTATTTTCTGCTCTTGCAGCAGTAGATGCCTAAACCCCCGAGGCCAATCCTGCTGGATTTATGACACCTTGTCTGCTACAAGTTTCAATTCCTTTCCTTGCCTTTTTTTTTTTTTTTTTGCCTTCTCCATTCCTTCCCTTACCTGCACTAAAGGACTAGTAGGAACCTGCCTGGGTTGTTAGCATTTTGCTGAGATAATTACCCTGTGCATGAAGGGTTTTCCCTCATTATTTCCACTGCTGCTTTAATCAAAAGCCTAATGATGGTTGTGTGTCAACCATTCTACCTGTGAAGCTCTACAAAAGAAATAACCTAAGAGTAAACATTGCTATGGGAACATAACACTGGGGGCTGAGTAGCAGCGTGATGAACAGCTGGAGGGATTCCAGTGGACAAGAGTAAACAGGGGAAATGCTGAAAGGCTGAGTGTAGCTGGAACTTGGCTTTGGTTTTGTTGTGGTACACAAGGGGCCTCAGCACTGGGCTCTGCTGCACATTAACTGGGCAGTGCCCAGAGACTGAGTCACAGTGTGGGTTTGGACATGGGAGGAACATCAAAAAGCTTCCATGACTTGCTGGATAAAGCTCATTAAGGTATCTCAGCATGTCTGAGCTCTAGAATTTGACACCACAAACCAATGCTCTACTGCTTTATATTTTCAAAGCCCTGATCAACCACAGCATAGTGGAAGAAGAATCCCCTGCCTTGGCCATCTGCAAGAGCTGCAGGACTAACCAATTAGAATCAACCAAACCAGAAAAAAGCCCAACCAAAACAGCCTTTGATTTGTGCAAAGTGTTTAATTCCATTGTATTTTTAAGCCTTTTTAGTGCATTTAGGTATATTTAGAAACCATGAAGCATTTCAAAATGTAGAATAAGGTTTTCAAGTTAAGCTGTTGGTGCAAATATTTTCCCTTTGAGAGGAGCTTTGCAGGGGGAAACAGGTTACCTTTTCTTGTTTGCTCTTTTCAGTGTTGTTAAACAAATTTGGCAAGATACATTTCTTGCTGAGATAAACTTAATTGAAACAAACAAACACAAAGCTCCCAAACCCAAAGCAAACACTCTCTTGTGTTTCTCAGAGCTCTGAATCCAAGTTGTGTTCCAAAGGGGCTATGCCTGGCAAGTATTTGGAGGTCACTGTCCTTTTAACTTTGTCTCTAAATTTTAAGACCCGAATATTCCTTTGTGCCAAACAGTTGATTCCATTTCAGTGTGGGAGCTGAGTCATTTTGCTGCCACTTGCACTAGATTCATTTGATAGCAGGGCAGGGTTAGTTAATATTTTAACAACTCCAGGTTTCAAATCCCTTCTAACAGCCCTGGCATTTCGTTGGGAGTCTGGAGACTGAGAAAATACAGTCCTGGAAAGGGTTTTGTGCCCCTTGACAGGCTGGCAGCATCCCATGCTCACACAGAGCACAGAGGCTGTAAATCCTCTCCCCTCCCTTCTTTGGGAAGATAAATGAACTTGTCTTTTAGGGCTTCTTTCTCTCCCCCTCCTGTGAATTTCTCTTTAGAATGATCTTTAGTTCATCTTTAGAAAGATCTATACAACATGTTCTCATGACATTTGCCTTCCTGCTCTCATGGGAAAACCCTATGGAGATGGAGATTTGCAAGTGCTGTGAGAAATGGTGAATG